TTTTAAAATTAAAAGTAAAAGACTTACAAAAGAAAAAATTCGAACTTTATCTAAAAAACAATAATCATTCACAAGTGTCTCCTGGGAAATCACAGCAAAGTTGAAGTCATTAAAATTCCCCTTTAATCAAAGAGTGGTTTAAGGTTATTTGCGCGCATGTGTGTGGAGGTGAATCACAAATATGCTTCCAAATTATATTCAACCAAGCAGAGATTCAGCCTCTAAGGTGTGAACTAAAATAATAATGTTGTGCTGTCAGTGTGCAACATCTGGAATCCTAAACAACAAGTCATCTGGACAGGAAAGACTCTCCGATCCTTAGACAGGTGGAGACAGAGGAGAGATGCTAATGTGAAGAGCAAGCGAGGCATTAGCAGCTTTACAGGATGTGTGTTTGCACGGAAGTGATGAGTTAGTAATTGGAGCTCACTTCCTGATATTAAGGTCCAAATTGGATAAAACCATTTTGCTTTTATTTTGGTCATTTCCATTTTGTTGCATGCTTTTGTCAGCAGATAGGAAACCTTGATAGTATGAAGTTATTTTAAGATGATCAAAATACATAATATGTTAGTATAAATAAATGGAAGATCCTAACAATTAAAATGCTAAATATGCAATACTTAGTTCAACAGATTCATACTTGGTATTTAAAAAATAAGATTGAAATATAACACAATAATGTTAAAGGACACCTATCATGCTATTTTTAGGCAATAGTATAGGTCTCTGATATATCAAAATATATAAAAAACATGTCTATGAAGTATTTTGCTCAAAATACTCATGCTCAAAATTTTTTTTAGAAAAAAATAAAAAAGGAGGGGTCTGAGGTCATGCGGGACCCGGCAGCTACTGTCTAAACTAAATACTGCCGTGATGAAACGCCATATCAAGGATTATCTCTGAAACAGTATGGAGCTCAAAGGCTTTCTCTCTTGCCGGTATACCACAAGGTGAGTTCCTTTTTACTTCCTGCTTCTTCACACACATGCTCTCCAGTACAGGTTAGCTCTGAGTGTTAGCGATGCTAATGTAAACACCGACCATATTACGTCCAAAACAGTCGGGCATTGTTTCTGATAGCAACGTTTCTGATAGTGCTGTGGGTCCGCATTTCAGATATTACGTCATATCGGACGCAAATCTGGATCAGCTCCGTTGTTCCCCCGTTTTTAGAGATTTGGGTACGGAGGAAAAGAGAGAGGGTTTTATTTCCTGACGCTGCGTGAGTTCCCTGACACACCGGGGACACATGTTGATGTATAAAAGACATCAAAAAGTGCATTTTGCATGATAGGTCCCCTTTAAAAGATAACAGTAAGGATTTGTATATGATATCATAACTGTATGCTCACGTGTAGATGATCCTCCCTTCATTCATATTTAAAGCATTATGTTTGACTCAAACGTGAGTCATGAGTACTACAACACACACACACACACACACACACACACATGCTTAATGAGATCCTGCTGACACCCTGCACGCTTACCTCAGCATGTGTGTCACACTTTATCTTCTCCCGTAAACACACACACAGCACATGCTAATGAGATGCAGGAGACTTTAAGGTCAGAGGGACGGGTCACTTTGTCTGGCTCAGGCATTTTAATCTGTTCTTACAACAAAGTGAGAAAGAAAGAAGGGATATAGACCACACAAATGATAACACATGATTGATTTTTTTATTAATCTTGCATACCGGCAGATATCGCACACTTAACGAACTCAGCGCAGATTCAGAAGCGGGAGGATTTAGCCCTGTAAACACATTCCTCATGGAGATCAGCAACACTTCAGCTACCTGTCTCTCTGAGAAAGAGGTTAACTGCTCTCCCCTCTTCTTCTCTGCTCTGTGGAAACCAGAAGTACACATAAGATAGAGTGTCTTGAGTTATTTATACGGCTGCTGCGAGACAAAATACACCTCAATTTCTTTATCTACTCTCACACATACACACTCTGTGGTCTAATTAAAATCATCTCATCCCTCGCCAGCCTTACCCATCCATCTCTCCCCTATCTAATCCTCTCTCCTGCCCTCTCTTTATTGGTAATTTATACTTTCTACCGCCCTTTTCTCTCCATATTTCTTCCTCTCTACTCTCCGTCTCCTCCCCTCTACTCTCCTATCCCCCAGACGGACATTATCGGAGGGAATGGCGATTGATTTGCTTCTACTTGCTTTCCTCTGTTCTCCTGTCAAGGCTGTTTCTCTTATCTTGGCATTACAATTTCCAGAGAGGAAAGAACACATCACTCCTTTGACAGAACATGTCCTTGTGAGGTCCCTTACCTCAGCTTTTACTTTTATGTCTCTCTTTCTAACAATGTTGGGCAAATGGAAATAGATTTCTGCTCCTTCCACCTCTTTCTTTTTCCTTTTACAGCAAGTTCATATTAATCCAAAGTATCAAATAATTCCCACCAGTGCTTTAATCCAAAACACTGTTAGAGCAAATGCTATAGTCATGACTCAGAGTTGAAATCCAAGTATTATGACTTAGCTGGATGCTTCTTTGACGCATGAAAGAGAACTTGTATCCAAAAGTGCCACGAGTACATGATTTGTTATCTCCTCTCTTCGCCTTCACTCAGCAGGGATCTGACTACAAGCGTCCATCAGCAAAAACCTCACAAAAACGTTTCTCCACCCTCAGATAAAGTACTTATTTCTGGATGAAGCACTTTGGGAAACTTTGGCCCAGACCCTGAAATAGCTTCCGTACTTTAGCATCCTCTGTCAGATGAAAGACATATTTTATTCCAGGACAGTTCTTTCTAAAAGTTCCCGCCGGGGAGAGTTTAAATACTTTCCTTCATCCATCTTCTCTGCTTTTTCTCAAGCTTCTCTATCTCCTCTCCCTTGAGCTCCATTAGTTATCTCCTGATGGGTCATTAACTATTAAACACCAGAGAGAGGGAAAGGGAGAAGAGGGGCTTAGTGAAAGGTTTGTGTCTAGTTTGCAATAATAAATGGACATTGGGGGATGACATCAGAGGAAGTGATAAGTGGGAATCACAGTGCTGCTGCTTTCTGTCCTGTGGCGTAAGGCGTATTATACAAAGAGATATTTACATTAACATTTCAAAAAAATCCAGACAATCAACTGATTTCAGAGCACTACACAGGCTGCTTTTTCTCTGCATACACAGTTCACATCCAAAAGTTCACATCCAAAAGTTCAGCCCCTTCTTCTTCCCCTCAGGAAATCAGTGGCAGGCCTTCTCATCCAGTTGAGCTTAAGAAGGGTTTTGGATGATCCAGAGACAGTAAAGCCCTCAGATGACACCAAGCTCAAAGAGGCTTCAGAGTCTGAGTCACAGAGGCCATACTGTGGTTTAGTTTATTGGGGTGTTGCTGCCACCTAGTGGTCATAGACTGGCTGGAATGTACTCAAGGTACAAGGCTTTTATTGTTGTATTTATTTAAATGATCAGGTCACAGGCTCCTCCAACAGTGCAACACAATAAAACAGATAATAGTGCAAGTAAATAAAATAAAATTGAATATAATAGAAATTGTGCAGAATAGTCTTCTATATACAAGTAATTCAAATATTGATATAAATATATATATATATATCAGAATCAAGATAACGGCGGGGTGTTGTTGCAGGAAGTCCTGACGGAGAATACTTTTGCTGTAGTACAGGGGTGCACATAACTGGTACCCAGGTTATGTGCGTAATCTGAAATGCGTACCGTCACTTGTGTCACAAAGCGCATTAGCGTACCGACGTACTTGTGAAGCTTTTCCAGAAGGCGGTTAGATCACCGGACGACAGAGTCGGTCTCCGTGTGCACAGACAGGGCTGCTGTTAACGTCGGTCTGTACATCGGAATTGTGCCAAAACTACGCCAACCGGCTGCGGAGGGAGACTCCCCCCCCCCCCCCCTTCACTGGAGAACTGCGCTAAAACAGCTGATCACAACGTTCACACTCTGTGGTCACGAAGTACTCCACTAGCCCCCCCCCCCGTCGACTTTCCTGAAGTACTCCCCCGTTGATAGAAATCAACACGTAATGAATTAAGACCCCACGGTTTGATGATTGATAGGTGTGTGGGCTGTCTTTCATTTTGCAGACATTTTTTATAATAAACATACATAAATGGATATATCCGCCTTCTTTCATTTATCTTTCCATTCCCACAACAATATACATAAAGAAATGGCATATTTTGGACGTAGTTTGAATGGTGATTAATCATGATTAATTATTTTTTAAGCTGTGATTAATCTGATTAAAAATTGTAATCGTTTGACAGCCCTAATATATATATATATAAGTTATAACCAGATGAATGTTATGGATGTTGTTTCAACAGTTCAGGTGTTTAACAGTCTTATGGCCTGTGGGATGAAACTGTTCCTGAATCTGGTGGTTTTATTCCGGATGCTGCGGTACCGCCTGCCAGACGGCAGCAGACAGAACAGTTTGTGGCTGGGGTGATGGGGGTCTTTTATAATCCTGAGGGCTTTCTTCCTGAGCCGCTGGGAGTAAAGGTCCTCCATGGATGGCAGCTCCGTCCTGGTGATGTTCTGTGCAGTTTTCACCACCATTTGTAAAGTGTTATGGTTGATGCAGCCAGTCAGAATCCTCTCTATATTGCACCTGTAGAAGTTGCAGAGTATCCTGGAGTACATGTTGAACCTCCTCAGCCTACGGAGGAAGAAGAGCCGCTGTCGTGCTTTTTTGGTGATAGTGGTTGTGTGAAGAGTCCATGTCAGGTCCTCAGTGATGTGGACAGCGAGGAACCTGAAGCTGCTGACTCTCTCTACCGTAGTCCCATTGATGGCGATGGGGGCAGCAATTACATTGAAGCAGTCGTAGGCAACAAAATACAGTATATTGTTCATTAAATATGTAAGAAAAATCCTTATGCCAAGAAAAATTGAGCAAAAACTCAGTGTAATTAAAGAAAAGGTGATGGCTGTTGTGATTTCAGGCCTGTTTAGTGTCTGTAAAGTTTACCTTAAATTCTCTCTGTAGACTCTCTGATGTTGGGGACGGAGGTGGACCTGCAGCGGGTGGAGAACAGCGTGTTCGCCATGGAGACAGTGTTGAAGGCGTGGCTTCAGGAGCAGGGGGGAGACAGAGAACACCTCCACCTGCTGCTGCCCAGCCCCCTGGATAACCCCATTCCAGGTGGAGTCACTACACACAAACACATGGCATGTTACAATAAAACCTGATTGATTTTCTTAATTAATTAAAGATATATTTGTTACCTGTGAAGTGTGTGTGAAGTGTGACATGCAGGAGCGTCTCATAAGCCCCGCTCTCATCCCCCTGAGCCCCAACCTGGGCGTGAAGACAGAGAGCGTCCGGGACTTCCTGCCCGTCACTAAGGGATCAGCCAATCAGAGCCAACCGCCACGGAGACTGAAAGTAATCAAGTAAGAGACAGGTCTGCAGGGACATTAGAAAGGCTGTTGCTTTCAACTCAGGTGTGAAATTAGGTTCGCATTAAGGCCCCGGCCACACGAGGACAAAAACGGCTAAACGCATAGGATTAACGCAAACGCAATCGCAAAAAAGCTTCCGTCCACACGCAATATTCACCGGATAGTAGGCTTGTTTGAGACGCGTTGCGGCTCGCCTCGAAAGTAGACGAGAATAGCCGATCGCAGCCGGGGGAGGTCTCAAAAAGCTCGCCTGAAGTCGGACAGCTCGGAGTCGGCTTCGTCTTCTTCTTCTTCTTCTTCTTCTCTCGGTTTTTTGGCGGATTGCAAACAACTTTAAGGTGCATACCGCCACCCTCCGTAGTCGGCTTGACTCGATTTGTATTTATAAAGAATGCACACGTGTTTAATCGTTAATGTCAGATATGTACTAAGTAAATACATTTGTTCCTGCTCAAGATTAGATTCAACTTTATTGTTATTGCATATATTACAGGTACTGAGACAACGAAATGCAGTTTAGCTTCTAACCAGGTGCAACAAGCAGTAAAGTGAAAAGTAATGTACACAATCTACAGAATAACATATAGAATTAATTGAATGATGAATAAACAGTGAGGGGTATGCATATACACAGCAGCCTGTGAGCAGTATGAACAGTGTGTATGAATATGCTAAGATATATAAAGTATGAAAACGGTAAGCAGTGCAAGTATAGTATAAAATATATAGATATTAATTTAGAGCCTCGTCACACCCTGATTGGCTAAGAGGGGAAATTAAGGGGAAGGGGAGCTGTGACAGTTAACTAATGTGAATTTGGAAAGGAAGCGAAAATAAGTAACAAATAGTGAGCTATTCCTCCATACTGACACTGTTTCAAATAGTATTGAAACTGGCTTATACATGCATGGGTATAAACAGCTGACATCTTATCTCTCACAAACACACACCTATACAGTGTATTGCAAGTAAATGCACTGATGATAGAAAGTAAACATTCAGGTCAAAACTAGTTGAACAGTTGATTCCCCCAAATGTGCATACATTTTACATTTGCAGAAGCTGCAGTAAGAATGAATGTGTCTGCAGTGTGTGTGTGTGTGTGTGTGTGTGTGTGTGTGTGTGTGTGTGTGTGTGTGTGTGTGTGTGTGTGTGTGTGTGTGTGTGTGTGTGTGTGTGTGTGTGTGTGTGTGTGTGTGTGTGTGTGTGTGTGTGTGGACATTAAAATGAAGCTGGTGGACAGCGGTCGAACCGCTAACAACCTCAGCTTGCCAACAATGATGTCATTCTTCCTCATAATGATTTGTGTGTGCGTGTGTGTGTGTCCTAGCATTAATATACTTGTGGGGACCTAAATCTGTTTACATAGTCACGTGTGGGGACTCGCCTCCCTTATGGGGACAAATTGGAGGTCCCCATGAGGGGAATTATTAATTTTAGGGTGAAGACTTGGTTAGGTTTAGGATTAGGGTTAGGGTAAGGTTAAGGGTAAGGGTTAGGGTTAGGCATGTGTTGGTTATGGTTAAGGTTAGGATAAGTCTCCAGGAAATGCATGTAAGTCAATGTAATGTCCCCTGAAGTGATGTATACATGGTATGTGTGTGTGTGTGTGTGTGTGTGTGTGTGTGTGTGTGTGTGTGTGTGTGTGTGTGTGTGTGTGTGTGGTGTGTGTGTGTGTGTGTGTGTGTGTGGGGACAGTGTTTTGATGAAAACTATTCCAGGAAATGAAGAGAAGAACGATGACGTCTTCTTTGACATTGAAACGTTGACAATACACTTCCAGTGGTCACAGATGATAAACAAATCCACAGAGTGTTTTTCCTTGATTAGAGACAGAAAATTTTTACATTGTCATTTTACATCCACTCGCTTATCAAGGCCTGTGTGTGTGTGTGTGTGTGTGTGTGTGTGTGTGTGTGTGTGTGTGTGTGTGTGTGTGTGTGTGTGTGTGTGTGTGTGTGTGTGTGTGTGTGTGTGTGTGTGTGTGTGTGTGTGTTTCAGGACTCTGCGTGCAGACGGAGTGTGTGAGAGTGTGCTGTACGGCCTGCCGCTGGTGATCCGCCCCACCACCTGCTGGCAGCTGGACTGGGATGAAATGGAGAGCAACCACAACCTGTTCCACGCTCTCTGCCACACACTCAGGGTGCGTTCACTGTCCATTTGCTTACTACAAAACTTTAACAGATGTGGGTTCATTTTTTTATCGTCACACTATAGAATACGATTTTTCTCAAATTGTTTCCTTGCTCTATTTGTGGTAAAATAGCCAGATATCTTTCTCTTTCTTTCTCAAATTCTTTATCAACCCTTTTTACTTTTTTAAACACAATAGCCCCAAGATCAGAAGAGAACAGAAAAAGTCAATTATAATTATTTACTGATGAAATTCCACAGAGCTTTTATAATAATTTAGAAATGCAAACTTGTCACCTTTCGGCGAAATTTGCCGTTTTGAACCCAAAATAGGTCGTTTGTGTTATTCATGTAGATCTGCAATAAAACTATTTTTGGGGTATGGGGGGGTCTGGGACCCGGAGTAACCTGCAGCCGCGAGCTGTTATGTGCCATCATCATGACACGCATGGTGTTCTTTTTTTATATATTATATAATGAAGCGCGAGCTGTGTGCTCGAGTCTTCCTGCCTGTCGGCTCTGCTCATGGATGTATAAGAAGGCTCTGCTGCTCCGCGATGATGGTCTAGCTTCAGCAGCTACATTACCTTGTTCGTTAATATTAACTGTGTGGTCCGGAGTCACTGTGGCACAGACTGGATCGCTGGTGAACAGCTGTTAGAACGGGCCGCTCAGGTGTTCAGAGCAGAGCTCCCTGTCGGAGCGGCAGAGCGTGTTTGTGCACTGAAAAGTTTTTCTGTCGCAATATTATCGTTGAGCTAGCTAGCTAGCATACATTGTCACTATGTGCTAACGTTAGCTTTAGCCTTCGTTTTCTAATAGTTTTTTTCATAGGCTATAAACGGAGGTGGTATAAGTATAGATCTTGTACTTGAGTAAAAGTAGAAGTACTCAGATCTTCTACTTGATTAAAAGTAGAAGTACTCAGATCTTGTACTAGACTAAAAGTAGAAGTACTCAGATCTTGTACTAGAGTAAAAGTAGAAGTACTCAGATCTTGTACTAGAGTAAAAGTAGAAGTACTCAGATCTTGTACTTGAGTAAAAGTAGAAGTACTCAGATCTTGTACTTGAGTAAAAGTAGAAGTACTCAAATCTTGTAGGCCTACTTCAGTAAAAGTAGAAGTACTCAGGTCTTGGACTTGAGTAAAAGTAGAAGTACCAGAATGTAGGAACAATCCTGCAATCAAAATGTTCCTCAAATAAAAGTACAAAAGTATTATCATCAAAATATAGTTAAAGTAGCGACAGTGAAAGTAGTCGTTGTGCAGATTGGTCCATTTCAGAATAATATATATGATATGTTTTATATTGATTGATCATGAAAGTGTTCTCAAAGCTGGTAAAGGTGCAGCTAGTTTGAATGGCTTTGTATACTGCAGGGCAGCTTGTGAATTTACTCCAGGTGGAACTAAAGTCTGATTTAACACTTGATTAGATTTCACGTCATTCATCCAGATCTGTGAAGTCACTAAAGGGATTAAATACAATTTACCTCTGAACTGTAGAGGAGAAGAAGAACAAAGTAGCAAAACATTGAAATACTTAAATAAAGTACAAGTATCTCAACATTGTACCCAAGTAGGCTATAGTACTTGAGTTTATGAATTTAGTTACTTTACACCAGATGCCATAAAGATAGAAAGACTAAGCCTTGCACAGAGGCATGAAAATACATTTTCAAAATGCTCAACAGTGCTGCCAAAATTATAAACTGACTGCTACACAATTAAAATAAATGCTTTTATATATTTTTATTAGATGTGACTCTTTGGCATTTCTGTTATTATTACCACTGCTGCTTTAGTTGTTCTGACTGCTAAAATCCTCTGTTATTCCTCATTTTAAAGCCGATATTCCGTGGGGTAGGGGGGCTCGGATCCTTGTCACCTTTTTCATGCCTGATGAGTTTGCATCCTTGTATATTACATTAAGTTGAATATACATCAGTTTGAGTGACAAAATTGTCATTTCAATCACTCTTCTTCCTCTGATTGGCTCTTTATGTAACTATTTCCGTCTTGTAACATTCTCAGTTCTCCTCTGTGCAACGCAAATGAGTTAAAGTGTTCTATTTTATTGTTTCTCATTTAGAGTCGTGACTTGTTCCTGCTGCTGCAGGTGGAGCCCGTTCAGCGGTCTGCAGCTGGAGGCTCAGGTGTGTGTGTGTGTGTGTGTGTTGTGTGTGTGTGTGTGTGTGTGTGTGTGTGTGTGTGGTGTGTGTGTGTGTGGTGTGTGTGTGTGTGGTGTGTGTGTGTGTGTGTGTGTGTGTGTGTGTGTGTGTGTGTGTGTGTGTGTGTGTGTGTGTGTGTGTGTGGGTGTGTGTGTGTGTGTGTGTGTGTGTGTGTGTGTGTGTGTGTGTGTGTGTGTGTGTGTGTGTGTGTGTGTGTGTGTGTGTGTGTGAATGTAAGAATGGGGTATGGATTAAACTGTCCAACATTATATTTTAGAGACTGATACAATTAATGGGTTAACAGAATATTAATTGCCTGCAATTTTGCTAAGAAGTTTCTTGAAAAATATTTCACAGTTTATGTTTCTTAAATGTGAAGATTTGCTGCTTTTGTTTTTACAATATTTTTAAATATTTCAAATGTTTTGAGTTGTTTCTGCATTAGTACTTTCACTCCTAATAATTTAGGTACAATTTCACACTTGTACTCAAATACTTTACTTAAGTAACATTCTCGGTGCAGAACTTTGACCTGATATTGAGTATTTTCACAGCGTTGTTTAGTATTGTTACTCTTTTTCCACCACTGTAAACATATCAGTCCTTGTGAACGACTGCATGTGTGCATGTGTGCTCCACAGGTGTGACCTCCCACTACGTCCTGCAGCCCTCCCCCTCCCTCTCCCTCCTCCTGAAGCCGGTGGTCTCCAGAGAGCTGCTGCTGCCCTGCTCCCTGCCCGCCCCCCCCCTGGAGCCTGCAGCCGACGCCCTGCACACCGTACAGGTCAGCTGACCGCAGCTCATGGCAACACATTACAGAAGTACACAGGCAGAACTCAAAAAGCAGAAATAGACTCATTTGAATAACTGTTGTGAAAACTGATACCAGGAACACATGGGAAAGCTGTTTCACTGAGGTAGTGTCTGCACAAACAGAAAACCACCTGGAGACACAGTATATATACACATTTATAGATATATGCAGTTATAATGACACAGATGAACGTATGTGTAAGAAATACAAGTATCACAGTACGTTTTAAAGACACATACTACCAAAAATCAATAGTGTTGTTAGGGATTTTTTTTTTCTCTCTTTCATATTTAATGATTTCATCACCCTAAAATAAAATGTAAATCCTAATTAGAGTATTTTTATTATTAAATCAACTTTCTTTAATCGATATAACTCCCTTAATGTGCAGCTACATTTGGCTAACATTAGCATAATATTTTTTTCTCAACATAGACAATTATTTGAAGTTTGAATAACATTTCAGTACAAAATATCTCTCAGGATATTAAATATAATTTAGGCAAAATATGGCCTTATGTGTATGAAGCTCTGTGTCCTAGTTGTTCATAGGGTTTATTTTAACAGGTGCACACTTTTCCAAAGCCCTTAAACCGAATATAAGACAATCAAATGTGTTCTTGTTGTTTCTTATGTCAGGGATGTCTCTCTCAGCTGGATGAGGAGTGTGTGTTCAACCCTCTGTCTCTGAGCAGTAACCTGTACCAGCACCTGAGGAGCAGAGGAGCGTTCTCACAGCCTCGATACCCATACAGGTAGATGAAAATATGATGCAAATAAATCTGTGTGGCCTTTGAGATCATTTTACATCAGTGTCATTACCTGGATGTAATGGGAGTGAGGTCAATGATGAGTTGATATCTGATGATTGTTGATTCCAGGCTCCAGACAGCGGCACACAGAGAGCAGGCTCAGCCAGCAGAGGGGGCTAAAGCCAGCAGACAGCAGCGACAGGTAACACACACACACACACACACACACACACAGCTGTATGGCAGTGTAAAGGTCAGGATGTGGTACTTATAGAAATTAGCACCAACCAAATTTCAACATGGGTAAACACGAGCAATTTGACATAAAGAATATTTGTATAAACCTCATTAAGATTATTTGCTTTACTAACTTCCTCCTCTTGTCTGTCTTCTATATTTACTCAATAGAGGGCAGTGCTTACTATGCAGACAATTCAGAGCATTATTACATGAACATAAACAAGGCCTATGTAATATGTGATCAGATGTATTTATTAGTTTTCTTCTGACTCAGATCAGTAATACGAACAGTTAGTCTTCCTTTTTTTCTAGGAGTGCATAGGATTTACTAAAACTCTTTCAAATACTTTACCTCATGACCGTTTTACCAATTTAATATTACAAAAAAATGAAATGCTTATGAGACAAAAACAAACAAGCTAGTAAAAAAAACATCCATATAAAAATATACTTGCATTAGATTTATGGTCAAACCTGCCATCTCTCTTCCAAGGGGATCTTTTACTTCACTTTTTTAATTGTATCACAAATAAAACATAATTGCAATAATAGAAGTATGAATAATTACAAATGTCTCCTCTTTAATTTGTATATTCAACGGGGGAAGGGGCAAAGCAGGCATAAAAATAGACACATCAGGACCAATATATCATTGAAATATTGAATAATTTGAATAGTTATTTAAATGAAACTGTGAGATGTTAAGCGAAAGAATGTTAAAGGCATCTGGAACGTGACAAGGAGACACTGATTTTATAAAAGGAGTCACAAGATTAAAAGTTTGGGAACCACTCGGTAATCTTTAACCACGTTTAGTATTTTTATAAGATGACCATGAGTTATATGTAAATGTGTAATCAGAAACATAACTAAAGTTGTAAAATAAATGTTGTTCAGAGTTAAAAGTCCAACACCACATTCTGAATTTCAGTGCAATATAAGTTTATCAAGCCGTGTCAAATGTTATCAATGTAGTCTGTTTCAGAAGACTGGTAACAAACGAACCGAGAAACAACTTCTTGACGTTCACATCACTTATTAATATTTCATCCGTCCACGTTTTACGTCATTTCACCCAGAGGCCCACTGTGAGCGGAGTGTAGCCGTTGGCAGTGTGACTCATCAGGTTGATAAGGCTGCTGACATGCAAATAGTTCACTACAGCGGCGAAACACAGAGAAAATGTTCTTCCGCTCTGCTTTTGTTTCGTTCTGTTCTTTGGCACACTCTGATTGTATTCTTATCATAATGTTTGTACATTTGTACCAATGTATGTCTCTGTTTCCTGTCTTAATCTCTCATGTTCCACAAACATATCCTCGTCTCTTTTTATCCCACTCCTTGTTTTCTTCTTCTTTCTTATAAAACCAACAACTGACATTAGCATACAACAGATACAGGAATGAGATAGCAAGAGCCAATGGGATTTGACCATTTGATTTTCCAACACTACTTTTTGTGTCTTTTGAAGCACAAATGCACTTTCCAAAGGTACAAAGCTAATGTTAAAACACTAAGAACAAACTACACCACTGACTTCCCGTTACTAACACTAAGCTAACGGTGGGTTACTGTTCCGTGTGATGAAAACAAGAAGTCAACTTGTATCTGACATCAGCCTTTTTTAAGACACTTTACAGCTTCAACATTCACGTGGAAGTACGTATTTCCTGTCAAAGAACATAATGTGAAAGGCTTGTGTTAACCACAGTATTTATTTCAGGCATCTAACCCAAAACACATACAAAAACCATTCAAAACTAAAGGAACCAAAAGTGTTAAAACGCTGACTCTTTCCAGGTTTTAGGACTCATCTCTGCAGTTCTCTATTATTCAATCAAAGATTTTCATTTCAATCTTTATTTCGAACAGATTACAAAAATAACAAATAACAAATAACAAATGTGAAAAACAGAATACCGTATTGTTAAAATACAGTATTTATCCACATTCATGATAATATTTATATATTCAACAAAAAAAAGTGTTCATATTAATAATAATAATAATAATAAAGATAACAATATATACTAAATATAATTTTGAGTAGAAAACCTGAAATATAAGTGTGTGTTGTCTTCACTCAGCCACAAAACCAGGGGCGCCAACTAGGAATGAGCAACAAGGTCAGAGCCACTGTGGCCCCCCTGCCCTCTGCCTCCTCCCACACCTCCTCCTCTTCCTCCCTGGGACCTCCTCCTGCGAAGGCCTCTCGTCGGGCCCTGACTCTCCTCAGCAGCAGCAGCAGCGGTGGGGGGAACCAACGGGCCCCGGCCCCCTCTCGTCAGGAGGAAGACCATGATGATGAGTCCATGGTTATACAGTAAGAACAGTGGGGGGGGGGGAGAACCTGCCACTTCAAAGGGAACTACGGTAATGCTTAGTCAGGACATTTCTGTAATCGGTCCCCATTGTAACGTTGGTGAGTCATCAGGCAGCTCATAAGGGCTTTAATGACTTTAACTGGAGGGAAACACACACTAATGTGTCTGTAAATACACACAGAACACACACACTGGTTTCCTCTGTATTTAATCTCACCACAATAATAGCTAGATCTGATTTTAACCACCCTCCGTGCATGAGTGCGTGAGAAAGGAAAGTCTTTACATCGCTGAGGCAAGAAGAACTTCCAAAAATGAACGAGGGAAGAAAAGATGAAAAGAAGGGAAACTGTAGGACTATGGAAGCCTGGAGGAGTTAGAAATATTGAGGCAACAACTAAATGTCCATATTTCATCACCCACTTACACACAGCTACTAAAGAAATCTAGAAAGAGGTTGCAAAATGATGCATAATACAGCCGCTATAGTAGAGACGGACTTATAGAAAACACACATATGCACATTCCATTTCCATTTTGCCCTTAAGCCCCGGCCCGAACACAGCTTCAGTGTTTTAATGAGACAGAGAATAAAGCAGCAGACAGAGGGGCCTCTCTGCTCTCCGTCACCCCCACAGCGAGCTCCCTCTCTGGGGGTTGAAAGGCAGCGTGAGGGGGGTGGATGGAAGGAGCACAGACCAGAGATCTTTTCTTTTTTTTTGTAGTATGTTCTTTAGATTTGACATCATATGGTTTGAACATTTCCCATTGTGGGTGTGAGATTGTTAAAAGTATACCAGTCAAACATATTCACGATCATACGCACTTATTGGTGAGTCAGACACTCCCTACGTCACTATTATTAATTTATTCTTCGTCATGGCGCTTGGTCACACACTTAATCAGTGTCCCGCCATTCCACCCCCATGTTGAACCTTATAACACTCGAGACTACTACCAGCGGCGAATGACTTCCTGACGTTGTGATGTCACAGGACTTCCTTATTCGCGGATTTACATCCACAACGACCCTTTTGTCTCCGGGGAGAATTTGACCGGACCTCCAAAGTTGCCCACTGACATTTTACCCACTTCTCTCTTCGCCGTCTCCGTCCGTATTCAATACTTTCTTATTAATCACCACAAACTCTGAGACATCGAGTGTGTGAATTTCGTAAATGTGTTCAAATAGAGCCGCTCTGTCCGCCTAAAGGTCAAAAGGCCGAAGCCAAAGGACGACAGACTCCTCGTTAAATGTCAAACAAAAGTGTCTCTATCTGTGTTTGCAGATTAATTCTAATGTCTTGTTGTTGAGGACATTTTCAGGTCTTCAGGTTTTTTTTAGCCGTTCTAAGAAAGTTCTTTGTTCATTGTTGTCTTTACGCCTCTACCACACAAACAGCCTTATCTCATCTTGCTGACTCATTGTTGTTCCCGTTCAGCTTTCATGTTGTGTGTTCTTTGAATTGAGCTGTTGTTTGTTCACTATGTAAGTTATTTAAGGATCTTGTATGTCCGACATATTTATTAAACTTCTCTCAGATTTGTATTTTAACATTGTGTATAAGTGTGGATTAATAAATTGTATTTATTTCCTCTACTGAAACTGCAACAGCATTTTTGACTAATTCTCAGCTTCTATATCAGAATAATATGATTGCTGTGACTTCCTGCTTCATAATGTACCATTTCCTCTTCTGCAGAAGGAGAGAAAACTCTGTCAGACTCTATGTGTCTCCCAAACTAATACACTGTCTCTTTCCTGTGATTGTCCTCTCAACGACAGCACTGAGACGAACACAGCAGGAACCCAAAAGAGCCACAATTCACACACAGGGAACAGGCAGAGAATAGTCGGCCAGAGTGAGAACAGAAAGAGGAAGTGCTTTTCGGTGAGGAGGTGAAGTGAGGAGGTACAGGAGCTGAACTGTAATGTCAGATCTCTGAAAGTCCTGCGACCCAGAAAGTCTAGAAAATACTGGAAATCTCATTAGCTGATATGGATGCTCCAATCTAAAAAAGGCTCCACAATATGTACACATGAACTCAGACTGGTCTAAGAAAACATCTCCCTACAGTAGGAGTACTTTGCACGCACGCACGCACGCACGCATGCATGCAGAAATGCGGAGACCTCAAACCTGCAGATAAAGCCGTCTGGCCAAATATAGCGTCATGTGGCTAGAAAGAACACATACACAGGCAAGTGGAGCTGCGTCTGTTCAATTGTATCAAGCGTAGATGTATAAAAGCGGTTCATCGGTTAATTCACACTTTTGTAATGTCACGTCTGCAGCAACACATCTTGACATTTCAGCAAAAAGTGAGAAAAGTCACCGAAGTAGATGTGAAACCATGAAGTGCGATGTGCTTTCAAGATGAAGCGACAAACCTTGAACACACAATCTCACAGGAATGCACGGTGACATGGTAGCATCAGAGGAACGTCTGCCGTCAGTCCCCCCCCCCCCCCCCGACGCTCCGTACACTGAACAAAGTGGGCAGCAGCAGGGGGCTCTGTGTAGCCGTCACACACTCACCATCATCAGGAGGCCGTCGAGCTGCTCTGCAGAGGTGTGACAGGTCAGAGCAAACGAGTAAAGAAATGTGAGGAAAGGAAGGAAGGAAGGAACTAGATATTAACCACAAAACGGGGACTCAAGCAAAAAATCTTATCACAGTTAGAGAGCCGTAAAAAATACATTTGTGCAATATAATACCGTTGCATAAGCTTGTCACTTACTTTTACACACTTTATAGTGCTATATTTTCCATTTCTTTTAGTGTCATGCCATCATATCTTACATGATCGTCATTTAATTGAATGTTTGTATGACTTGTTTGTTTTTCTGCTGACCGGACCTCGTCTAATATACTTGATTGTACTTGTGCAAACCTGCATGAGTTCCAATAAAGTAAAACGAAACAGACATGAAAAAGAGATGAAAAACTAGTTTAAAAACAATACAAATACTTATTGAATGGTTGAATGCTCCTTTCTATGAGCGGAATCACATTTGAGATTAAGCACATAACAGCTATTACAAAATAAATATTCCACTCGGTTCTACAAACACTGTTCCACTTTATGACCATAAAGTTGGGCAAAGTCTCCGCTTCCCCGACTGTAAAAGAGTAAACAGCGCTTTGGATATTCCAATGAGGAAGTGTTGAGCCATATTAAAGAAGTACTGTTCTGCGTGCCTCTTTATCTTATGAGTTCACGCAGGGTTTAATGAGAAAGACAGAAGGTTGTCGTCGTTTCTGTTTTTCTTCCCCCGCTCTGTCTGAAAGAAAAGGGGAGGGGGGGACGAGGAAATATAGCCTAGATGTGTAATCAAGATACTTTTGGACAGGACAGTCCTCCAGCAGCAGGTGGGTAAATAAAGAAAGGGGATAAAAAGGGATGATGGGATAAAGAGCATCAGAGACGGGAACATTCTGTATGTGTTATGCAAGACAAGCACACAGACAGGTTCATCCAGCCAGCATCTTTTCAGGTCTTTCTTTCTACTTCCTTAGTCATCCTCAGCCCAGGATAAACACCCTCTTTTTCCTTCCATCTTCCTATTTTTCCATCTTGTATTCCTGCCCTCCTCCGGTATCTCTCTGCAGTTGAAATGCACGGCGTGTCCGACACAAACCAGCCGCCATTAACTGTCACCAGAGCAACCCAACAACAGAAATAATGCAGAGAGACGGAGAAAAGGAAGGAAGAAAGAGAGAAAGTCTTTGCTCTAAAAGGCTCCACTTGTAACGGTCTGATTAAGTGGTTGGAAACTGAGCGGAGTAACAAAAACAGAGCGTGGCAGAGGGAGGGAGGTGAGGTCACACTGTCCCGCTTCATAACAGAAAAACACCTTCAAAAGATCCGTCTGATCGGCTCCTGATGAGACACACTCCTAGTTTACAGATCACCGAAGGACAAATATAAACGTTTTTGGAGCCATTTTTATTAATAGTTATATTTACAGACAGCACAGCTGTTTCTGACACACTGACACATTGGGATTGTTAGCTTCATATTTAGTTTTTCTGTCATTAGAAACATAAAAGTTTCAATAATATTGTGTTGTGCAGGAAGTCACCTCTGTAATTTAATGACGACCATGTGACCCACAGGACCTATTTACGACCCATTTATGTCTCACTTCCTTTAAAACAGTAGCAACAATGTTTTTGTATTTAATGCATCCTCAGATGCAACGACACATATTAGTGTCCTCGGCTGCAGATGTTGTAAATCTCCCCGCTCATTGAGAAGATGGATCAGTCCAGATTACACAAACAGAAAAAGCCAGCTCCTTTTGTTGAAGCCTCAAAGATACTCCGGACCTAAGCAGTGCAAAAACATGTTTCCTAGTAACTTCATAAGCACGGTGGATATTTTATAAAAAGGAGCCAAGCCGCTCTCTCAGCTTGTTAAAGTGAAGCCTGCAGGCCGGGCTCCTGGCACATCCAGACGCTGTGTGTGCGATGTGTGTTATAGAAAAGTGGCAGCTTCCCACCACACTGTGGCTTGGTACTCCAGTTATGGGTTTGACCATGCAAACACCCACTCTCTCTTTCTCAAAACACACACACACACACACAGGGTGGCCCTTCCATAGTCTCACTCCATGCAGCCATGATCTTATAGTTGTGCTTTGATCTACTTCCAATAAATCGACATAATGATGCCAGTCCACAGTTTGAAGAAATGTTACAAAAGCTGCAGGAATAAAGGCCACCACTGAGTGTTCTGGATTTGCACTTCTCCTCTTTTCACAAAGGGGATAACGGTTTCGTCTGTTAGTCCTCGAGTCAGACGTCTCCCAGGTTGTCGTAGATGCATTCAGGTGATCTCAGCGAATCCCACGAGTCAGCAGGTGGAGGTTTCTTCTTTGACACTTTGCTGTACAGCTCCTGCCCCGTGTCCCCTCCCACCCATAGATTGTTGTTGTTGTTTACATTATTGCCTCCATGTCTTCCGGGGGGCAGCGGCACCGGCTCCTTCTTCATCCTGCCGGGCTTCGGGCCGGTGAGGGGTTTGGGCCACCGCGGTGCGGGGGGTTGAGGCGTGCCGCGGCTCTGGGCCGGCTGCGGGGGCGAGTGTTTGTGGGGGTCTATTGGCTTTGTATGCAAAGCAGTGCTGTAAGTTCCCTCCGGCCCTGAAGGGGCCGCCTCGTCCTTTCTCCTGTGGATGTGGGGCTCCAGGCGGGCCTCGTCATAAATTGTCATCCCTGATTTACCGGTGGAGGCGCGGCCCTCTGGTTCGTCGTAGATGTGCTCCAGACGCGCAGCGGGAGGCGTTAAAGCTCCTTCTGTCTGACCTCCTGGGGGCCTCCTGTTACTGTTCCCCCCTCTGCACCCCCCCGCGGCTCCGTTCAGACTCAGCGCGCCCGTCTTCTGGCTCAGCTCCAGGCTGATCCGGTCATACACGTGCGAGTACAGGTCCGGCAGCTTCCTGCCTCCCAGGTGATGATCCCCTTGAAGTCCCGGAGCGTCATCTCCTGCTGGTCGGAGGCGGGGGGGGGCCACAGGGTGGGTGCTGCTCTGGCTCTGAGCTTTGATGGTGTCCATGGGGTCAGAGTAGAGGCAGTCTCCGGCGTGCAGAGGCAGGCGAACGGAGTCTGCCGGCTCAGAGTAAAGAGCTGCATGTTCATCAGCACCTTTCGCTGCCACCTGACCTCTTGGAGACTTCGCAGGGACCCCCCCACTTCCCATAACGCCCATTATGGCTGGAGGTTCTGGTAAACTCCTCCCCTTTAGTCCTGTTCCTTGCCCCCTCCCTCCTCCCCCTCCATCTCCACCCTCTCTCTTCCCCAGCACTCCGTCAGCAGAGCCTGGTTTGCTGCCCCCTGAATCTCCGTCGGCCTCCCGGCTGCTGCAGCTGCTGCTGTCCCCACTTCCTGTTAGGCTGCTGGGGGGGGCGTTGCGTATGTGCTGCAGGGACGACGGGCAGTCGGGGTCGAAGTTGAGGGGGCTGCTGAGGTGGCGCTCCTCGGCCTGGACCTTCTGCGACTGGATGGCCTGGTCCACCAGCGTGAAGATCTCGTTGCCCTGCTTGGTGTCAAAGGTGAAGTTCCCGGGGCCTGAGTCGCAGCGTCGGCCGGCCTCGAAGGAAAACATCACCTAGAGAGGGATAGCAAGGGGGAAATGTTTTAGTGTGAAAGTGAGCGTGACATATATATATATATATATATACACTGTGGTGTCTGAACAAAAGCCAGCTGAACTAATGGAGCCAGTCACACAAGTCGCAGCTTTCCAGTCATCACTCATTTATCATTTTCCTGGCGCTCAGAGGAAGCCTGCTTCCTTCTCCCACTGAATTTCCACTTTTCTCAGCATATCAATTGTATTACTTCACTGCTTTCACTAACTGAGAAATTATGATTCAAACTTTCTTCCCCTTGTTTTCTTGCATACATATTGGTCACAAAAGACCTACACATCCAATGTAGGTATCTATGTATTCTTCTGGGTGCATAACATCAAAGTTTCAGTCTCGGAAAATGCATGAAAAGTTGAAAACCATTTTTTCAGACAAACCTGACAGACCTTTAAAGGTCACCAGTCATTTTATGACCTGGGGACTCATTTATAAACGGTGCGTATGCTCAAAATATGGCGTACGCCAGTTGGTGACGATCCGACCTCCATGCTGCTACTCTGGTTCAAACTGCATCCACCAAACAATATGATTTATCTCCACCTCCCCAAAATAACCAAAATCTGACACGGTGTGAGATGTCTTTTTTAGCTGTTCTGTCGTAATTTCCTGCGATCTTCTTCATGCAGTCAGTCAGAATGAATGAAGTGGCGTTTATTTGACTATTTATAGGCAAATATGGGCGTTACGTGAAGCCCGCAAAAGCTGCACCGCATTTCGAGTAGATTGTGATTTATAAAGGGAAACCAGCGTAGGATGTGCCGTACGCAAGTCCTGCGCCGGTACGCAGTCTTTTATGAATCGGAAAATGTCTGTGCGTATTTATTTGCTTTGTCCTACGTAAGCAACCTTCCCACGCCAATCCTACGCAAGGCTTTATAAATGAGGTCCCTGGTCTCTATATCTGAAGCATGTAACTGACACAAAAACAGCCACTGTAAAGCTGTAAATACCCTCTGTGACGGTAAGTCTCTGACCACACTGCAGCTAAAAGTATCATCTGCACTTCCTAACTACCATCAATCGCTTCAGTGTCACATATAACCCACCCGGTCCCGGCCGTATCTCCGCAGCAGTTTGTAGGGCCACGCCAGAACGTCCCTCTTTGTCTTCGGCTCCTTTAAGATCAAGATGTCGTTCTCGGCCTTCAGCCAGTAGCTGCCCGTCATCCCGCAGCGCTCTGACGCCTCGGTGCGCTGCACGCTCACCCAGAACTCGTTCACTGGAGATCAAAGGAGAGGGGTTTTTGCTCTGGTGTACTTGCATTCTCTTTTGTATGTCTAATGATTGTCTGTAATGCAATGCTATATTTTCATAAGAGGAGACACTACAAGTTTTTGACCAGTAGATTTCATCATAAAACTTCCCCACATCAAGTTATTTTTGTTTTAATAAAAGCTTTCTGAAATGTTATGTTTAAATATACAAATGAGTCATTATGCTACATTTGAGAATAGAAAAACATGTTAGAGTGTAGGGGTTTTACAGAGGGAATTATAGATTCATATTGTTAAAATTATGTTTTGTTTTTATGAATAAGCAGAACTATCTTAGCTTATGTTGGAATGATGTTGCTTATTATTAGTAGTAGTAGTATTACTGCATGTGAATTCAAACATTGATATTCACTTTTCATTTGACAAAAACTTGAAAAACAATAAGTTGACAATTATGTTTTTTTTAAGTTTTATGTTGAAAAATGCAAATGGTTGCATTATTTAATATGTTATGTTGGTTAATTTAGGAGAACTCCAGTTTGTCTTTCCACTAGTCTGAACAATTAAATGTAATGTAAACAAAATAACATAAATGAACAGCACACAGTTGAGAGTCCTTACCCTCCTCTCTGGAGTAGTAGATGAGGTTTTCAGACATCTGCAGGTCGAGGCCCCCTCCGTTAGGGTCTGCAGCCGCACTGCTGCTGCCGCCCTGCACACACACAGACACACAATCAGGACTTTCACAATATATTAATTCACTTGTTGTTTTGGGGAAATCTTTCCTGTACAATCACTGAAAGGAAAGGCAAAGCATGAGAGAAAATGAAAATAAAGAGTGAGTGTGCAGCAGAGAAGCGGATAAGGTTGTCCTCCTGGAAGCTTCCTCTGGCTTCCTCTCTGCAAATATGTCTAATGATCGTGTGTGTATGCGTGTGTGTGACTGCACAAAATGGAAGCTGTAGCCTGCTTGGACACCCCAGGGGCTTGTGGGAAATGTTGGAAGACACACAAACAAGACGCTGCCAGTTGAATGGAAACTTTAAAACTGCGATTCCTCAGCTTTTCCCACCAAACTAAGGGAACTAGTTTTTCTTTATTTAAATATCTTTGGGCACATTTCCCACATGAAGAAAGAAGAACATACCTTAAAGGCGATGTCACACATGGTGTCCATCCAGTCCTTGGCGGTGCTCCTCTCGGCAGAGAACACGTGCGTCTTGTCGTTGGTCTCCACGCAGAAGGCCGACATGTTCTCTTTGGGACAGCTCTCTGTCAGCGCCGGCAGGATGGAGATGCACTCGGACAGGCGGATGATCTTCTTGTCGAGCTTCCTGGACTTCTCCGTGGACCCGCTCCCCGAGCCTCCGCCGCCTCCGCCGCCCCCCGAGTCGTAGAACTCGAGGCGGGCGATGCCGTTCTGGCTGGCAGGGAACAGGACGAACCAGTTCTTCTTCCATTTCTGATGAGAGGGTCAGTAGAGAATATTAAAGCTCCACTGATTATTTATTATAACTTTTTAAATAGCCCCGATTTCATTAAAGATCTCCTATCATGCTATTTTTAGGCATATATTACGGGTCTCAGATATATCAAAATATATAAATAACATGTCGATGATGTGTTTTGCTCAAAATACCAAACAGATCATGCCTTTTAGACATCCCTCTATTTCAGGCCTGTTACAGAAGTGCTGATTATGGGTCCTTAGCTTGAAAAAAAAAAAGAGAGGAGGGGGAGCTTGTGCCTGCTCAGAATTCTACCGCAGATACAGCTAAATGCTGCCGTGATTAAATGCCATATCATGTTCCAAACCACATCAAGGATTATTTCTGAAACAGTATGGAGCTCAAATGCTTTTTCTCTCAAACAAAGACCATATTACATCCAAAACACGTAGCGCATTGTTTCTGATAGCGACGTTTCTGATAGGATCGTGGGTGTAAAGCCAGCCCACATTTCAGATATTACGTCATGTCGGCAGAAAATCTGGATCAGCTCCGTTGTAGCCCCGTTTTTAGAGATGTGGGTACGGAGGAAAAGAGAGGGTTTAGTTTTCTGACACTTCGTGAGTTCCCTGACACACCGGAGACACATATTTATGTATAAAAGACATTTTGCATGATAGGAGACCTTTAAAACTTAGCGGAAAGATGCAGCATGGACCGAGGAAGAACCCATTAAAAATATGGAGCAGATGGAAAAATGGAAAAGGCCTTGGCAGTTTTGTATGTATGTATGTCTATTATGTGTATAACAACAATAAGGAACACATGTTTTGTCCCCCTAGTAGACCAGCATCTTACATCAAACGGCTATTTATGAATGTTGGAAGGAAATAACAGGAAGAAGAAGAGGTTGGAAAACTAATTTCCCACTGTCCTGTTCATATCAGTCTAGGGATTTGCATGTGGTTTGTTTAGAAAGCTACGGGGAAAAGCAAAATGCAGAGTTCGCTAGACAATAATCAAAAACTGATGAAAAGGGAAATGGAGGAAATGTTACTGTTTGAAGTCCGCAGACGATGTGAGTCAAAATAATATTTTCACATTGTTGTGTTACTTCTACTTTACTGAGGCCTAAATTAGGAGGTCTGCTGATTAATATAAAGCAGTTTGACTCAGAACGGATGCACATGTCATAGTTTCCTGTACAATCAGCAGCAGTTACTGCTGTGGTGAAGTGAGTACAAATGGAGCTCATCACAACTTGAACTGAGAACCAAGTTAAAATAATCTAGGGCAAAGGGCAAAACATTTCCCAAGATTCAGGGTCTTTATTGCTACCCTGCTGGGACCCAAACGAAGATGTGCACGCAAAATAAGTAACAGCTCTGTGAGAAATGATAGAGAAGAGGTTCAAAATAAACCGGGTCCAAGCTCTGTGACAGGTGCCTCTCTCCCTGAGGACAGCGACGAGGAAGCAGCAGCTAACAATGACCTCTTCCTCCCCAGGGACAGAAAGGGACATGACACACAATGCTGAAGAACAAGACGCACAGCCAGTGTGCAGCACTCCAGATGTTCAGTGCTGACAATGGACGTGATGACACACTGCAAACACTACAGAAGTTACTCTACATGTGATTATAACCAAACTGAGTGAGACAGCAGAATTAAAAAGCTTGTTTAGGAAGTCCCTATAGTCCCCTGTTAACACTCTGGAAGATCATGACATTTGTTCACAGTGTGTGTTTTCCCCTGACATTCACTCAGAGCAGAGCATGTGACAGGAAGGTCAGAAAACCCTTTGACCTGCGGGGAAAATCCTGTTAACTGGAATGGGACCTTTTAAGAGATGTGGGGGAACCAGGTCCAATAAGCAGGAGAATTGCTATAAAAAGACAATTATTACCAAAAAAAGCAAACAAAAAGGGCAAAAATGGAACCTGGGAGGTCCAATAAAAACATTTAACTAAAGCAAAAGTACACAGAGAGATGTTTCCATTATTTTCAATACCATCTGATTCCAGTCTATACATTGAGAGTATTCCCTGCTTTTCTTTGTCATATATCTTAAAGTCAACATTTGGGGACTTTTTACAAACAAAGGACATTTGAAGATGTCTTTATAATAGAAAATCGTAGGTCAAGCGCTTTTTGTATGTTAAATTCTCATCTGCAGAGTAACTAGTGCGTATGAGTAGTAGAAGTATACAGTAGCAAGTCATAGAAACACACAAAATAAGTCATCAGTAGATATACATATTTACTTTCAACAATCGGGTTACTGTGCGACGTCTTAAAACACGTCAGCTTGTTTGTTATGATTCACAGCGTTAAATTAGGCATGTGCGTCAGTCTTGAATTATATTATTTGCATGACTTATGCTTCACAATCGAGTACGTTTAACTGGTTGAAATGTAACAATGAGCACAAACAAGATGGGACTCAGTTGAAGAAGTGTACACACACATAAAAGCCAACTTTATCAATGTTTTACTCAGACACACACACAGTTTCATAAGTGAACACACTATGAGCCGATAAAACTAACTGCCAGAAAGGACAGGAAATGTGTGGGACTGTCATTACCCAGGATTCTCTTCACTTCCTTCTTCTGCATCCAGGTGTGTGTGTGTTAATATGTGCATATGTGTGCAACTGCATTGTTGTTCCCTTGGTGCATTCTCGACCATCTGTTGCTGTACACAAACGTGTGATTGTGCAGTTGTATACACAAATAGGGTGTGAAACATTAACTTGGAGGTGTGTGTGTGTGTGTGTGTGTGTGTGCATGTGAAGCAGCTGCTCCATATAAGGCAACAGACCGTTATCAGCCGCTAATACACCGAGTGGAAATTATGCAAAAAAGGATCCTGACAGAGATATACTTCCTCACTGACGTCCTGCCTGCTCACAAGAACATAACTGTGTGTGTGTGTGTGTGTGTGTGTGTGTGTGTGTGTGTGTGTGTGTGTGTGTGTGTGTGTGTGTTTCTCGCAGAGCCCAAAAAAGACATAGCCTTCTCCGTAATAACAGCCGATGTGTTAGTAATCGCGTTTCCAAATTGACATTACTAAGAAAGGCCACACTTTCACTGTATAGCTCAAAAACACTTCTTTAGATGTGTAAATGGAATGCATTTTCGTAAGGGAGTGCATATTTTCAGCTCATATTTGTAATAAACGTGCCAAAAGCAGATCAAAAAATGTCCACGCTAAAAACCCATTTTGTGATCCTATTGCCATTTTAGGCGTAAATGTATGAATTCTATTATATCAAACATTCAATTTAGAGCTCTGTCTTGAAAATTGTAGATTGAGGCATTTTCAGAAACATGCAACACATGTATTGTTATAGCTACCCATTGCCATATCCCATGATGTAGAAAAATAAATCTTGCTAGCATTCATTCAGTATACAGAAGAAAATGTATGATTTTTTGGTAATTATGATAAGCAATGATGTATGTTAAAACAATATACTCAGGGAAGTGGAAAATCATTTTCATTTATACTATTGTATTGCAGCTTTGGATGCAGGGGATCAGAGCTGTGTTTACCAGTGAAGTTCATGGGGATTTTTTTTCCAGCACGTGAAATGTTACTGTAACAAATAGGGGATAGTATTCCAGGTGTGTGTGTGTGTGTGTGTGTGTGTGTGTGTGTGTGTGTGTGTGTGTGTGTGTGTGTGTGTGTGTGTGTGTGTGTGTGTGTGTGTGTGTGTGTGTGTGTATGTGTGTTGTGTGTGTGTGTTTGCATGCAGACCGAGTCACTGTGGGACAGGTGGAAACATTTTTCCACAACTGTCCCTGTCTGACAGGATGCTCTCTATCTGTCATGCTGTTTAGCTAAAACACTGGACCGTGTTTGCACTGGCCACAAACAGACACACACAGGAGCAGTGTGTGTGTGTGTGTGTGTGTGTGTGTGTGTGTGTGTGTGTGTGTGTGTGTGTGTGTGTGTGTGTGTGTGTGTGTGTGTGTGTGTGTGTGTGTGTGTGTGTGTGTGTGTTTGTGTATCCAAGCATGTAATGTGGAAGCGAGGCGGAAGGAGGAGGGCTGCGCGTGTGTGTGTGTAATTTGTATGTATGATTGACAAGAAGTGTGTTAAGAGAGAGAGAGGCAGACCGCTGCTCTGACCACAGTCCTCTGCTATGTCTACAAAATAAATCTCTCACATGTCAGGACTGAGTTTGGCTGGTTTGGATTTACTATTGTAGTTTGTGTCTACCCGAGTGAAGTAGAAATACATCTAAATGTTTTCTAAAAGTAGTATACGTTTTAATTTGTTTCTAACGTATAAATACATTTTCTTTTTTAAATACATGTATATATTTTTCAATGTTGTATGTATGCTATTTCTTGCTATGGGATTATGTTAACAAAATGATGCTATCAAATAAAAATGTATAAATATATAGATAAAATATCTATTTTTGTATTTTATTTTGTATTTATTAATTGGTTTGGGATCCTCAAAAGTGAAGTTGTTCTTGTTTTTTTATTGTATCACTTGTTTGTCTTCCTTAAAGCTAAAACCATAGAGAAACGTCTATAATGTGCACATGCCGCTATCCTGGTCTGCAGCACGTAAAAAGCTATTTCTGGAGCAGGCAAATATTCCAAGAGAGATAATGAAGTCCAGAAATAGGTCAGACAAGTGACAGCATGCTTACAGCAGCACAATGAAATGTGATCAAGAACCAAAACCAACTTTTTCAGAATAGAAAGAAAATAAAAGTATACATTGCCGTAGTCTCAAATCACTGGTATTAAAACAAAACCAATAGGCCTACTATTAATTAATATAGTACAATTAATATATTAAAAACGTTTTTGTTTAACAAACGGTACAGCGTTTACCTAATGTCAGAGAATGATTTAGTGTAATGGAGGAACATGAATAAGCATTTTTTATGTCATAGCGTCACAGAAACGGCTAATGCTAGCATGATCAACCCGGACAAAAACAGCCGGATATATTTATATGGTGATAATCGTTGTAATTTACTTGATTGAAAAAACAGAATGACTTTGATAAATTCAGCTTTAATTTTTGAATAATATGCCCAAAACGTTGACTTTACAAAAACAGGAAATGATGAGCAGATTGATCGGTGAAAACATTTAAATGGTCAATGATCCGTTCATCATGCAGCATGCTCATGGTAGGATTGTTTTTAACGTGTACTTTTAGTCTTATTCATTCAGGCCAGAGCTACAATTTGGTCCAAACAAATGCCCTATAAATAGAAGGTGTTAATGTGACGAAAGGAATATGCAAAGTTACGTTGATTCATATTGACAAGCAATAGGGAAAGAACCTAAATGAACTGTGACTCAGGAACGAATACTACAAAAACTATTACATGCGCTGAGTAATATCATTGTAATAGCTAATCGTTGTTTCTGCTTCATCACTTCTTTCCATTTAGCTTCACAACATCATGCCGTTGTTCCTGAAAATACGCCCACTGCAGAGTATATATGGAGAATTACACACTTTTCATACGTCAAGTTAGTTATTCATATTACAAAAGATTCGGCGTTTCTTTTCTGAGAAATATGATTTAACGTAGCAATCAGACAAATCCCATTAATCCATTAGGCAGTGATTACTTTTGACAGTCGTATAAGTCTAGCCTCGGGGTGTTTCATTCTCTTTCACCCTGACACACCTCGTCTGTTCAAGTGTCTGCCTGCTCCTGGATGAATCTGTCTGTCATCTGCCCTCATCTGCACACGAAAATCACCGTGAAACTAAAAGATGTTGTAGCTCCAGGGTGCGACACAACTACAAACTACAGATCCAATCACACACAACTCTACCTTCAAATCGCTCTGCGGTCAGTTTAAGCTGCACATTAAAAACACATGACAGCTCTACAAGTGTAAAAGCTGTAATTACAACAGCATGAAGTTTAGGACGACCTATTGTAGTGTAACCACAGTGACTGCATGCACACAGCCAGACAGTTCAGACAGCAGCTCCACGTCACCACACATCTCTGGCATGCTTTGGATGTTATGAATACCTGTCTGATGCAATGTGCGTCGAACACAGATCTATTTGTTTCTAAGTGTCATGCTGTGGTGTTCGAGAGCAGTCCAGAAGTGATTTTATATAAAGTGTATTCATCTCGTGGAGTTCTACCTAAGATAATTTATCTTACTTCTCTGGAGGGGCTTTTACAAGTTTTACTCTTTTTTTTTAATCGGATGATGCTGTCATTACACATAAATATCTCATCAATGTTTATGACATCACAACTTCATGGAAATGCAATACTTATACTTGATAAATTAAACCGGGAAGTTAAAATAAATGCATGACTACATCAATTAATAAGTAATGTTTTACTATGTTAGTATGCCAAGAATAGTTAATGACTAATAGCAGAATTCTTATGAATGTTGTTGTGTGTGGGGCCAAAAGGTCAAAGACATCTCCTTTTATTTTCACTAGAAATCATAGAGGCAAAAAAATACTTAACATAAATATAAACACAACGGTTTTGTTTTATGTGATGAAATAAAAATAACTAAGGCTTATTTCTTTCAAATTCTGTGTATGAATGTGTTCAAATCTGTGGTATTGAGCACTTGATAACCCATTTAGCTGACAGGCGTAGCATATTGCTAATTAACACATGATTAATCAGGTGTGCATTGGGCAGGAACAATACAAGGACAATTAAAGGGGCAATATTATATCATCTTGGTGCTTAACAACACAGAGTTGGTTCACAACATGTGAAAGAAATGATCAACCATGTGTGCATTGAAAAAAGTCTTATTTTTTCAAATCATAATATTTGTGAGCAAAATCAAAAGTGTTTAAAAAGGAGTTTCTATTGATATGAGAGTGAGAATTGCTCCATACAGAAGTTGTATAGCTTGAACTTGTAAATATTATAATCTATTGTTTCAGCTGGATACGCAGAGCTAAACAAAAACTGAGATAATCTGATGAATCACATTCAAAAGGTCAACACCTACATTTGGCCCCGAGAGGGAATTGGTTAGGCCGCAGTATAGCGATAAAAACAACAACACAGGGATATAAAGCCACAAATACACAACCACACGTTTAAAAAAAAAAAAAAAGGTGCTGAGACTTAAAAGGTGAACACAGGTTCAAGTACACACGTTAAAATGTAATACATCATTTGGGAATATTTCAAATCAATTCTATTTATTTATTTTGTTACTTTTTTCTCGAATACTGTTAACAGGATTGGATATAGACAGAAGATACTAAAATCACAAGTATATGAAGTGTAAGCCTGCTTTCTAAGCTCTATAACAGAAACCTGGGTCAGACGTTGCTGCTGTAAGTCACATTTTCCGACTAACCACATGGGAACGAGCCTATATGAGTGTGTGTGCGTGGGTGTGTGTCCACTGACAGCTCTAAAGATTGCATAATTCAACAGTAAACCTCAAACCAGTTTCAACACTTTCAGATCTGCCAGCTTCCTCTACTATTCCTTTTACTGGGCTGCTGTTGTATCCACTTCTGTTTTACTGTGAAAGGATAACGTGTTATTTATGAAAATATTGAGAGTTGGTTTGTCTGTTTTCTATTGTAATCCCTACAGTTTATAGAAGGCATTGAAAGTGTGTTTTGGGAGTGTGAATATGTATTGTGGGTTCAGGGCAGGAAACAGGGCCAGGAGGTTTTGTTGATGGATGTCATATGACCAGAGAGAGAGGCGGAGAGACAAAGACCCTCTTACAAATCTGAAGAGTAAATGAGTTCTTATCTGGCTGCGCACTCAAGGCAAGGTTGCACGGAGGGCATGGAGTGACACAAACACCCAGACACACCCACAGGTGTTATCTCCTGGTCCACTGCTGCTGTGTGATCAGAAAGTAAGTGACTACATACAGTCAGAGGTGATAGCTACTAAAGTGTTTGTAATGGTGTGAAGAACAGGTCTAAAGACCAAGTGGAAATATGTCTGCCATACGTCTGTTTCTCTCTATTGTCTCATCTTTCCGACTCAATATTCCGTGTTGTGCAGCATTGTATGTGTTTATTGTGGAAAGTCATAATGCATTTTTACTTAATTTTAAATGCGTGCCGTGTAGATTACAATTCAAAACATATATTCCTGACTAAATAGTCCCCAGTTATTTTCTTTTTCTGTCAACCGATATGATCAAAAAGATAGTCTAAGCCTTCTCTACTAATACAAATGTGTTTTTAACTGCATTTACACATTGATGAATTGTTTGTATATTTGTATTATGCAAGTTATTGTACAAATGTCACGTTTCATCCCTAGTTTTTTTATCATTGTTTTCGGCTTTTTATTTACTTATTTATTATATAAACTTATTAGGGAAATTGAACATGTGCCGGAATCCCTATATCATATATGCCTATGTTGTTTCTCTGGACACCTGACTGTACTGTTTGAATGCACTTTGTAAAAGAAAATAAGTAGTAAAAAGCAACTTTAATAAGTTGATGTGTCACCAGCTCTCCAACCCATCTCTTCCCTCTCTCTGACCTCATTCACTTTGCTTTAGCCCGCTGTGGTTCCATGTATCTTCATATCTACTGAATGTTACTACAGTGCATTCCAGCTCATTAACACACTCACATGCACACACAGATGCACAGCTGGTTTACTGCAGACCACCACATCAAAACAAGACCAGATCATTGGACCCTGCTGTAGCTTCCTCTCTGCATACAGTCAGTTAGAAGAAGCTGGGCACAATGACTGTAATTGCACCAATATGTGCTCCATTAGTGACAACAACTAGGAAATGCTCAAAGTTGAAACACCGAAAAGACAGTACTTCTGCTATGCTGAATTGCAGAATTTATATTTCTCATAAACACATGGTAACTCTATTATTCATATAATGTTCCAATAGAGAATTAATTCATTACATAATCGTTATTCAACATGTTACTATTTAATTTCTATAAAGGACAACTACAGTGTCCTTAAAGTACACACTTGCTGTTTCCTTTCCTTGTCTATGCTTTTTCTATAATATCCAAATAGAAAAAGATAGTTTTATTGGCCTTAGGATATTATACAATAGTTTATTTCTTCATATAATAACGGTTTATCACATTCCTATTACTTGCTACGTAGTTTTTGTTGTATGGCATCCTTTATGTACAATGAGGTCACTGCCTACAGTTATATGCCCTCATTTCGGTTAAGCAGAGTAACTGTTTCTTTATAATTGGACTTACCTTGCCAAACTTTTGATGCTGCACATAAAGTTGTCCCTCCTTAACGTGGGTGTCCATGCCCCCCCAAACTCTCCAGGGCCACCCTTCCTCTAAAAAGACGAGATTTTAGTTGAACTTGACTGGACGAAAATCACTTTTTAGAGGTTTATTTCCCCCTTAACAACTTCCCTCCTCCTTTCACTTCCGCTCCCCAGCCGCTATAACGCATGTATCGTACCGCTCGCGCACAGTTAAAGGTGTCATGGTTAAAATAAAAATAAAAGCCCAAACAGTGGCTGGGTGGTCCGACAAAAGTTAAATAGTGTCCAAATGTTGTCGGTGGGTCGCCAATCTGTCGCCTCTCACTCCTCCTGCTGGGCTGGACCACTGCAAAGCCACTCTGCATAGATAAGGTAAAGCTTCCGGTTATAACTTTCAGAATAAAAGTCTGATTAATGAATAGATTCAGGGGCATTCTGGCAAAGTTCAGCATTTAATGTGGTCTAGGCTTTCAGACAATGTCAATACAAGACAGGTAACCTTAAGGCTCATGGCATTTCAATGCATCTCCTTCAAGTGGGTAAAACAAAAATGGTATATTCTATTGGATCCTCAAGAATATTACGAGATTGTAATTTGGTGCAATCTGTGTTTTTTGTAAAAGCCACACATCATCAGGCAAAAAACACATCATCAGGCAAAAAACACATCATCAGGCAAAAAACACATCATCAGGCAAAAAACTGGTGCCTGATGATGTGAGGTGCTGAACCTCTATCTCCATTTTCAAAACCAACTTAAAATATCTGTTAAAAGCTGCCCTACTTTGTACGCCACTTGAAAAGAATCTGGTAATCAAAATGTACTTTTAATACAATAATTTTTATTTTTTTTATTTAGCCTTTATTTATACAGGTGTAGATCTCATTGAGACACAAGGTCTCATTTTCAAGAGAGACCTGTCAGTGGTAACACTACCACACAAAGTTACAGACAGACAGGACACTAAACACAGAGGCAACACTAAAATACAACATCGTAAAAAAGTAGTCATTAAAATCCATATACAGCAGTCAGATATAGCAGGTGCAAACACCCACAGATGATTTCTCCAGGTTTTTTAAAATGAGTTTAAAATCCGTGATGGGTATCAAAGTGGTCAGCTTAAGTTCCTGCTGAAGTGTGTTCCAGGTCGAGGGGGCAGAGTATGATATGGCTTTTTTCCCAAGCACCGTGCGTACTGAGGGGACGGACAGAGTGATGTAATGTTAAGATCTTAGTCTATAGCTGTACTGTTTGTGTGATATGTAAGTGGATATGTAGAGGGGCAGCAGTCCAAGCATAGCGGTATAGATCAGTTTGTACCAGTGCAGTGATCTGCGCATTGATAATGATGTCCAGTTGACTAAAGCGTACAGCGTGCAATGGTGTGTGAGGGGTTTACAGTTGGTTATGAACCTCAGAGCCCCATGGTAAACAGCGTCCAGCAGTTGAAGGGAGTGAGCTGAGGCGTTCATGTACACAACATCCCCGTAGTCCAAGAGCGGCAAAAATGTGGCAGCTACAAGCCGTTTCCTCGCACTTGTGGAGAAGCAGGCCTTATTTCTAAAAAAGAATCCCAGCTTTAATTTCAATTTCCTTAAAGATTGTCAATGTGTGGTTTGAAGCAGAGATTTTCATCTATGGTGATGCCTAAGTATCTGTAGGTGTTAACATCTTCAATGGGGTTATGCTGTGCAGACATGATGCAGGGAAGAACAGTTGGTAACTTTTTCTTATTGGAAAACAACATGACTTTTGTCTTATCTGAATTTAACACCAACCTAAGGTGGAACAGATGTGACTGAAAAGTGTCAAAAGCAGACTGCAGACGTTCAAATGCAAGCGCAACAGTGCTAGCACAACAGTACACAACAGTATCATCTGCATATAGATGTACAGAGGCATCCATACTTTGACCCACATCATTTATATAAATAGTAAAAAGGGTCGGTCCCAAGACCGAACCTTGAGGAACGCCTCTGGGCACATTAAGAAAGTTTGAGGAGAGACCGCTGAATTTTACACATTGCTTGCGATTTGAAAGATAGTTTGCAAACCAACCAACAGCTTGGTCAGACAGGCCTATATGGGATAACTTCTGGCACAGAATGCCATGGTCCACAGTCTCAAATGCCTGGGATAAGTCTATAAAAAGGGCAGCACAGTAGCTCTTTGCGTCCAAGCCTTCAACAATGTCATTCACTACTTTCAAAGCAGCCGTTACTGTACTGTGCTGCTTCCTAAAGCCCGACTGGTGAGGAGATAGAATGTTGTTCAAGCTTAAATATTCTTTGATTTGATCATTCACCAGCCTTTCAAGTACTTTAGCTAAAATAGAGAGCTTGGAAATTGGTCTGTAATTATTCATCACCATGGGATCACCACCTTTCAATAAGGGGAGAACATTTGCAGTTTTCCAAACATCTGGAATGACATTGCTTGTTATAGAAAGATAAAAAACATGACAAAGTGGTTTGGCTATAATATCTGCAGCTAGCCGTAAGAAATAAGGGGGGAGATCGTCCGGACCTGCTGATTTTTTGGGGTCTAGGCCCTTTAGAGCCTTACAAACCTCCCCAACATTGAAGGGGTTGAAGGAGAAAGTGTGGCTACTGGAGGCATGACTGGTGGTGATGGAGGGAGATGATTTACCAAAAGATAATGTGTCAAACAAGGAACTGGAGGCAATAAAATGTTTATTAAAACAATTAAGCATCTCTGTCTTATTTGACACAGGGGTGGAGTCAACAACAATGTTAGGAGGCAGCTCTAAGGAGCGAGAGCTGGCAGAGAGGGATTTTATGGTATGCCAAAATCTCCTAGGATCGTTTAAACTGTCTGTGGTCTGGGATAAGTAAAAATCGCTTTTGGCTTTTTTAATGGAAGCAGTACAGCGATTACGCAGTTGACGAAAAAGAAGCCAGTCAGCCTCAGAACCTGTCTTCCTCGCAGCAGCCCAAAGGAGATTCCTCTTGCGTAAGAGGGCTGCCAGATCAGAAGTGAACCAGGGGTTATCACGGCCCTTCACCCTGAACCGGCGAAACGGAGCATGTTTATCTAAAAAATAACTAAAACTGTCATAAAAATACTTCCAAGCATGGTCAACATCACCAATCAATAAAATACGATCCCATTTTAAATGAACTAAGTCATGAAGAAAGGCTTGCTCTATAAAGTGCTTAACATTTCTTTTCAGAACAACACAGGGTTTGGTACGGGGGATTTTGGTATCCCTAATAGCACCAACTAGACAATGATCACTTAGGTCATTAGCAAAGACCCCGGTTGCAGTATATTTATGGGGTTGATTAGTAATTAAAAGATCGATAAGAGATGATTTATTTAGACACCTGGTGTTAAGACGAGTAGGACTTTGAATTAATTGTGTACAATTTAGCGACATACAATGCATTTTAAAATCATCAGACACTGGTGAAAGCCAGTCCCAGTTAAAATCACCTACCAGGATGATTTCCTTAAACTGTAGTTGAGATAAAAGCTAAAAGTTAAATAATAACTAGCCTATGTGTGCACTGAACTAATTAGATGCAATGCCGTTATGCAATTAACACATACATAGGCCTACCAGGAACAGGACAACTGGTCTGACCATTGGAAGTATCAGTGCTGTTTATTAAACATTATTATTTAGACAAGAGTTTAATCCAGGAAAGTTTGAGACATTTTTCATAATTTGTTGTGATTGTTTTTGGGCTTTACAAAGTTCTGACGTGTTTTTATTTTTGAAATCTGAATGAGCAGACATCCGGTAGTGATTCTGTGGAGCTTCACTTGTCCGTCTGAGGGGCAGTGATCAGCGCGTGCAGAGCGCACCGAGCCGCTCCTCGAGTCCCACCTCCTCACTCTTGTGTAACTTCTCTATCGGTTTCAGCTTTAACGCAGGCACTTTCTAACGCACATGCAATCTATACAATAATAATAATGATTACACTGTACACTTCATGTAATAACATTATGTTTGGCGAACTAACTGCAGGACATCACAGCAGGACAGTCGGACTATACATCTCATAGAAGAGTTATTATTCCTTGTAGGCCTACGAGCAAACATCATAAAGAAAGATCAGATTTCCCATTATTAATACTAACTTCAACTACAGAGATATTAAAATAATGTTGAGCAGCCAAGGAATGATAATAGCAGTCTATGTTGGCAAAGAGAAGCTGGCCCCAGAGTTAATGTGTTGCAGATGCCTCCTGCTGGCTCACTCAGAGCTGTTGTCCCTGTTTCAGATCATAACAAATGCTGCTAAATCCCTGACACTGACTGAGTATAGGGTTTTAGACTTCATTTAGACCTGTATTGAGGGACCAGGTGCATGTCCAGGCAAAAACTCAGGTGCAAGACAGCAAATTATATTTTGGAGCCAGAGCACAAAGGAGGCCTGCACACTGCTAGGCTCTTGAATAATGTCTTTCTCTTTTTGATGCAACAATCTGCTCAGGCTTGGGTGAAAGAGAAAAACAGGTATTTCTCTTTGAGGCAGTAATCAACTCAAATCACTCTCACCTGTTCGTCTGCAATCAGCGGGGAAAAAACCACCACAAGACTTCAATCAAAGAACTCCAGAAAATAGACACCCACACAAATAGAAATATGGTTACTTGCAATACAACAGCATTGTAAAAGCATGCAGCAAGCACACGAAGAATATATAATTTAATAGAAATTATAATTATGTGTTCCCACAATTTATGAAATGATTAAAACATTAGGCTATATGTCATCAGTTGTAAGTGGTTTTATTTGATGCTTAATAGTGTTTACTATCTTTAATGAATTGAAGTTATACTTATGGTATAAATACAATTGATACTATGGAGTTAGTATTGTGAAGAAAGAGCACAGCTGCCGCCTACTGGTAATTTATCAGTATTGCAAGTTGAAGTTCAGTTGCAACTCTCGCGATATTTGTGCACTTTGACTGATCCAAAACAGGAAGTGAGACATGGCATCAGTGTTCGGCGGAGTAGAGGGGTGAGAATAAGTTAAAATATAAAACTAAACTTTACAATTTCATATATTATTAATGATAAGTTAAGGCTAATATGAATTGTAGGCTTTTACTCGTTTTTTCGCGGTTGCCACTGAGAAATGTGCGGTACCAGCCGATATTGAAAGAGTTTAATTATGAACACAGACTAGTTATCTGACTTCTTGTGCGCGAGCATCTGTCTCGTGACCGCTTTCTCTCGTTACCTGTGGGGTACTGTCCGTTTACATACGAATATGAGATATTTGTAAAGCTTTTTATGTCCCTTCTGCCTCGGCTATGAGTTTATAAGGGACTAATG